TTTAGCAATACTTTTTTCGAGGGTTTTTACAGCGGTGCGACAGCTTTCTTTAGCTTGATTTCGAGCTCTTGCGTATAGGTTATAGTCAGCATCGCTACGAGTCTGTAAATAACGCTGGTATGCTTCCTTCTTTGTTTTCAGCTTAGCTAAAACTGTACTGTTCATCCACCGAGTTTTTGTAACATCAACAACCAAGTTGATGTTCAATTATGTGACCTTATGATCTTACCTTATGACGAGTTTAGGAATAGTCAACGGTCGCGTTTATGCGCCGCCTTCGTCGTCCTTTGTCTCCAAGTCGTCGATAGGCAGATCGCACCGCCCTAGGGTCCCGGAGGTAACATTGAACGTGTTCCGTCTATCTGCCCTCCTTTGTTGTAGCAACAACCCTGACAATTTCTGTTACATTTGTGGCAAATTCACCCCAAAAGATCAGAGAAAAAAATCTGGCCTCTAAGGTGAAGTCAGCATACAGGCACTATTTTGGCTGTCAAGTTGGGGACCAGGATAAAAACTGGCACCTCATTTCTGCTGTTATAACTGCTTTGTCTGTTCAACACAATGGTTGAGCTCAAAAAGAAAGAGTATGCCATTTGCTGTTCCAATTATCTGGATTTTTCCCTTGCTTCTTCCCACTTGGGATATGCTTTTTTCCCCACTTGGATTTTTTCCCTGAAAACCTTGGGGATATAAGTGATGAGCATGGTGAGCGTTTTCACCAGGATTGCGCTTATGGAAAGTCGCTATCAAGGTCGCTTTAATCCAAGTATGATGGGAGACTATTGTTGGTTGCTACGAAGGTAGGAAGAATCTACTCATCGTCGCAAATCAAGAGGGAAAAAGCATTTCTAAAATAAAAGTCATAGCAATTAGGTAAGATTTCTCTTTAAACTGTCTTGATTACCATTTTTTAATATTTTGATTACCTAAATAAGATGTTTGAAATGTATAATCCAATATTATTTAATCATGTTCAGTTTACCAAATGTTGCATTTTAATGAATTTCATCAAAATTATTTCTTGAATATCTCGAAAACAACACGTGCTAGAGTACTTCTGTTTGCAGATTTGAAGTCAGCGACCTCGATTCCTTAAGAGAAAGGTATATTGGTTTGAGTTATGAAAAAAATTTTTTTTGTTGCACAGTGTACTAGTTCAACCCTGAGCGAAACGTTCACTGCACCTGCTAAGAAGAAGAAAAATTACTTATCAAAAGGTAAAATAAAACTCTTGCATCAATGCATTCTTTAAAAGTCATAATTGACCTTTCATTTTCAGCGAAAAATAAACACATTGAACATAAGAATCCTTTATTGGAACTCGACAAATATATTAAATCATCAACTCACGAGGTTGTAACTGATGTTTTACCATCTGCTAAAACCATACATCTAATTTTTTTACACCTAGCACTACTGGATTTTTTTTTCTACACCTAGGACTACTGTTTCTGTCCTCAAATATTACAATTTTCATTTAGTGCAGAATCATCATAGCGGAGGCACTCTTCACCACCGCTAATTCATGAAGAGTGGATTCAGTTTTCATTCGGTCACGGCGAGTGACATTGATGGAGACTACTGGCACAGTGCCGACAATCGTCGACTTTTCCCTGATAAGGGCATGCAGGATCCTAGCACAGTTTGTCGTCCCCTTCGTGGAAATGACCGAAGTTTTCTTTGCAGCTTGCAGGGCAGTACTCTATGAACATTTGCTCTGCTGAACACTCTCCATCGTCGCGGATATCGTGTCCTTCAGCCGCGTTGTTTAGTTCGATAGACTCTTCAGATTCGCGTCGCATCAGACCATTCTACTCATATTTATTATATTATTTCTGAAGTCGTTCTATTTCACGGTTTTGGGAGACAGGCACTGACGCCCAATCCTTCACTCTATGTGGCATCTTCATTCTATGCGTCACTCTCGATGCACTGACGCCCAATCCTTCACTCTATGCGTCTTTGATGACATGTTACTTTTAAATTTCCTTGATAATTCGTGTCCTTGCTTTCTCTTCTCGCTGGCGATCCTCTTTAGACTGGCAAAGCGAGTGCTCATGCTTAAGCATATAGATCTTCTCGCTCCTACAATAGTGTGTTGTTTTGAATAAATAGATCTTCGAATTTGGCTTAAATATCCTCATTACTGAGAGTAAGGCGCTTCAGCTTTTCAAGCAGTTCATGGTAGTTTTCATCTTCCGCTTGCTGTCGCTCCAAGACTGAGATTTTTTCCAATAGTTCATTATTTTTGTCTCGGTATTATTCCACTTTGCCGTATATCTGGCGCTCCTAAGTCGCTACTTTTTATAAATTTTCTCTGTAACGCTCAGAATTTCTAACGGCTTCAATGACTTTCTCTTCCAAGGCCTCGATTTTCTTCGACTGTTCCAATTTTAACTTGCCATACTCATTGCGCTCTTGTGCCAACTTGTGTTCTAATGCACTAATTTTGTCGGAATATTCTTGAATAGTAACCTTCTGCCGTGTCATATCTTCTTCAATCTTTCGCTCCAGGATTTATATTTGGTCCTGTTACTACTGACGTTGATCATGTTATCTTTTCTAGCTGTGTTCTATAATACTTTGCAGAATTGATATTTTAACCTTGTATTCCTAGTTTTAATCTTAGTATTTTACAACTTCGGCAATATTTTTTGTCAGACGTTACTCTTCCTTCTGTTCCCTAATTTATTACAACAACTCTTGGATCACTTCATCTTTCCGCAGAACAATTTTCTCGTAATATTTCTTTTGCTCCTTCAATCGGTAGCTATGCAGATCCTCCGAAACCCATCTCTTCTTCTCCAGTTCACCTTTTCCTTCTTAATCCGATGGTTTGATTACATGGCGAAAATTTTCCCTCTACAATTTAGCGTTCTCTTCCAAGTAATTTTGCTGCTTACGCAGCAACGCAGCCGTTGATTCTCCACTATTTTTCCTCGGGATTTTTGCATGGCATTAACAATCTCGGAATGGCCCCTTGCCCGCCTGATTGCACTTGCAGTTTCCTTACTTCGATCCTTGATTTTTACTGCAGGTACAACTCACTTCAACTTCGAGGATTTGACACCCACACTGGTCAGGACACTCAAATTCATTATCTCGAATTGGAGAATGAAGTTACGCTTGATCTCCACAGCAAGCATAGCCGTTGGAGAGCTTCGAATCTTGACCTCGTCGAGTAGGGTTTCTGACGCAATGATGCTGGCTGTCATCTCTGCAGCAGAGCAAGCAGTCCATTGCTGTACTCGCAAGCGCAGGGGCAAAAGAAGAATAAAAAAGCGCGTTTCCACAAATTACTTCGAATTTATTTAGATGGTATAAAGTTCTTCAGTCTTCAAGTTTGAAATTTTCAAAGTTGAGGAAAATTTAAATACACGCATTTAAATACTGGGTCGTAATCAGAAGGCTTTCTCGTATCATAGTTACCTGCACCCAAATCCTGAATTTCAAATCAATTTCAGTTTCAAAGGAGAGTTGACAGTTCCATGAGAAATACCAAATTAAATGTTTTCTCGCGTTATATGCAAATTCAAATAGTCTTCATTTCATAACCCCAAAAAATGTTCAGCCAATATTCATGATTTGATAGACATTGCTTATTACGATTCTGGAAAATTTATTCTTTCATAGATTATCTTATGATATTCAAAAATTCTCACATAAAACATGAGCCTGTTCTGAAATTCACTTTTGAAACAAATCTTAAATTTGTCCGTTTTGCAGCATGGTTATTATGAAGAATCTTGGAAATTCTTGTCAGTTGATACATTCGTGATCGCTGATTCTCAAGTTATAATATTTCAGGCATATAAATGAATAAATTTACGAGTCTGAAATTTCAAAATTTCAATCTTAATGCTTGCAACACTTTCATTTACTTGATGATAAATAATGTACGTTCGTAACTTAGCTATAAATGTCAACTGGGAACCTGCTTTTCTATCTGTCCTCGCCCTGCAGCATAGCAAGACTTTGCGCAAGCAAAATATTAATAAAAAGCATTTATAATCGAACTTTAAGAACAACTTTTTCTGACTATACGAAGATGAATGAATAAATGCATTCTGCATTATTTTTGGTGTAGGACAATAATATGATTCGAAACCAAATTAACTATTTAGTTCTTTGTGAAGGCTCTAATGATAAACAAAATATAAATATAGTTTATCAAAGTAATGATAAACAAAAATTGTCATAGCCTAAAAATAAAACCATAGCCAATACAATAGTACAGTCATGCCAATAGCAGCCCGCATTTATGAAACCGAGAGTATTTTTTTAATTGATGAAAAAAGATTACGCAAACATGTATTTAGCTTTTTACTAACAACAATTGTTACAAACTCGATGCATAGATTTCGGTTAACTTCACTGTTGATTTTTGGATGTCCCATTGTGCCGCACAGGAAATGACTTAGCGCGACACGTCATCCTGATCGAGTGACCGTATAGGATGACTTGCGACACGTGATTCCTGATTCCTTCTGTTGGCATGTATCCTACGCGATAAAAATTAACATGAAGCATTTGTATCAGTTGCTAGCTTTGCAATTTAGGGTAGGTGAGTGAGAGAGTAGAAGAAAATACGATAGCAAAAATGTATATTCATAGGACCATAACGAGAATACTGTCGTGTATATTCATGAATAATGAGCCGAAATAAAAGCCAATGTACGTCCTCGTCTGAATATTCTTGTTCGTCAAAATTCCACACCAAATTGAACTGCAATTGATGCGGGTTAAAGAGCATATGTAAATCGTTATTTTTTTCGAGTTTGCATTTGAAGTGAATAATTATAGTAATTCACCTCACACTAAGTTGTGTTATGTACGATACTATGTTGAGTCTCATCGCGTTTCTCTATTATCACTTCTTCACTTGATTTAATACATCCGCTGCTATTTACCTCTCGTTAGTTCCAATGTTTGCTTATTCGTTTTTTCCGTATTCCTTTCAGTGACCTGCAGGCCATTAAGCACTGCACCTATACAACAGTCTCCTTATGACCTTAAGATGAGTTCGGGACTTCCTAGTCCCCGGTCACGCTATTGCGCCGCCTTCGTCGTCCTCCGTCTCCGAGTCGTCGCTAGGCAGGTCACCCCGCCCTCGGGTCCCGGATGTAACGTTGGACGTGTTCCGTCTATTTGCACTCCTTTGGGCCAGCTGATGCAAGATAGCCTGTTGCTTGTCACTTGCTGAGGGAAATTTCCCATTACTGGACAATCCGGGATCTTTCTCAACCAATTGTCCAGTCGTTTCTTGAATGTTGCAAGGGTGATCTCGTTTCCTCTCAGCTCTTTTGGCTGGGCATTAAAGAGCCTCAGTCCTGCAACGGACAGTGATCCCTCACGGAGAGTCTTGCAGCTCAGGCAAGGCATAGAACAGCCTGGGTCCTGCCACGTACAATGATCCCTCGCGAAGAGTCTGCACTCTGGCTGCAGCTTGGTCATTAAATGGGGGAATCCTACAGTACCTACACAGTCTCCCCTTCCTATTGTTATAATACTTCATAATTTTGGAGGTCTCACTCGCAAAGTTAAGAGCCAGTCTGGTTATTATCTTCCAAGTGTACAGTATGATATATCTCTCTCTTCTCCTCTCCAGGGAGTACAGTCCCAGGCGTCTCAACCTTTCCCAGTATCACTGATCCTGGATGTGAAGGTCCGCTGGACTGACTCCAGTTTCCGCGCTGCGTCTGCTTTGAGCGGCGCCCAAAGCTGGCAGCAGTACTTAACATTGGGGAGCACGAGGGCCCTGAAGAGTGTAATCATTGGCGCTCTCGTTTGGAATGTCCGCTAGATCCACCCCATCCGTTGTCAGCCTCGTGCCACTCTTTGGTCGTTGAACGTGGCTTCAGTACTCATCAACACTCCGAGATTTCGAATTAGTTGCTTCTCCTCAATTTCTATGCCATCTGATGCTAAGTAGCGATGTGACATCCCGTTTGCTGTGTCAACTTTGTATCTTATTACTTCGAACTTAGTGCCGTTGAATTGAATATTATTCACTAGGGCCCAAAGACAAGTCATCATGAGCCTCTCGCAGTCTAGGTCGTCTGTCATCCCCATCAGCACCAGCACGCTTGTATCGTCCGCAAATGACGATGTAGACGAGTGGGTAAGTTCTGAGTCGATGTCGGCGATGAGGAAGAGGAAGAGGATCGGTCCAAGCACCGTGACTTGTATCCAATTGCGACAGCTTGTACTCTATCTGAAGGAAGTTGTAGATCCAGATAGATTCCTCCTACTAGGAGAAAGCATTATTTCAGTTGTAGAAGTTTCATTATTACAATGGAAATTTAGTTCCAAGGGCTTAACTATTTTTCCACTATACCCCCACTAGATACCCTACTACTTCCCGTTCATTAGTCACGGGTAAGGAATTTGGCCAAAGAAAGTGCACTGCAGTCACTATGAACGGCAGATTATTCTCACTGTTAATGAAGTGCTGCGAGTTATCTAGTTTGTTGTCTCTTACTGCGTTAGATTTGGCTGCTACTCGCTTCAAATCTCGTGGATCATTCCTCCAAAAATCCTGGCAACACAATAAGCGGATTGCCTGCTTAATAAAAATGCTGCTATGCTAATTACGATGCATCTTCTTCCATGATATTTTTTTTCATGCGTGCGGTTCTTTCTAATTCACACGTTACTAACACCGGTTGCTGGCGTGCAGGTTTGGGTGGACTTGAAAACTCCCGCTGTGGATGCTGCTCCGCCTGTACCCATGCAGTACAGACTCCTTACTGTTGGCAAGGGTATGTGATTCTTAGACACTTTTATTTCTTGGTGGCTTCATACATTATGTGTTTTATATGCCTGTCGCATCTCGAAATTGCGCAACGATACAACTTGATTATCAATTTTTGTCTTACCATATTTCTGCAATTAAAAGATCTCATTAATCTATAAATAATTATTTGTTTTTACGCATTCCAGGTAGCAGCAATCACGTGAATTTGGAGACTTACGGACACTGCAATTACATATCCAGCAACCACGCCTGCATTTTCTTAGACGAGGTGCGTTATTATCAATGGATCTACATTATTTGCTGAAGTATTTCTCGCGTATGTTTCATGTGTTACTGACGATGTTATGTGTCTTTGTCTCAATCTTTATAGTCAGCTGCATGAGAGAAACTTTGGAACGGCAATTTGTTGCCGTGATATTTTTCTTTGGTACAAAACGTGGTGTAATTCAGAAGTATGTTTCCCATGTTCATAAACTTACTCTCATTGTGCTGCATTTTTTTAAAGAAGCATATCTAAGTACTTTATGTGTGTCAGTGTTTCTTTTAATTAAATCAAATTTGTTTTTGTGTCAGTACTCTGGACAATATGAGCTTGGTGAACTACAGCAGCGTCGGTGTTTTCTTTTAATTAAATCAAATTTATTTTTGTGTCAGTACTCTGGACAATATGAGCTTGGTGAACTACAGCAGCGTCGGTGTTTTCTTTTAACTAAATCAAATTTATTTTTGTGTCAGTACTCTGGACAATATGAGCTGGTGAACTACAGCAGCGAGGGCACGACGGTGGATGGCGGGGTGTACCGCTGTGATCTGTCAGGAGAGAAAAGCGTCATCTCGCAGCCGCCTCCCAACTCCTTGCTGCACCAGGTTGGTTTTTCACTCGTTATGATAAAATCTGTTATTTATTCTGATTCGTACCAAGTTAGTTACTTAGTTACACTATAAAAATTCAAGCCAGGTGAGAAAGAATCTAACTTGTATTCAACTTTGATGTGGCTTTGTAAAATTAGGTTGCGGAATTCTTCTATAATCAATATTGTACCAAATTTTGTATTTAGTTAGTTTTAATCTTTATTGCTGAAGAACAGTGATATGTTCAATATTTTAGATGTTTTCGCTTGTCAAGGTGCGTGAGAGCGTTCAGAAGTATCGCGAAGCTTACATCAAGAACGGAGCTCCGGGCTATTGCTTCTCCATCGAGGACGAGACGGACGAGAAGAAGAAAGACTTCGATGGCTTTCGCGCGAACAACCTGAGAGGCGAGACGGAGGCTGTCATGACCAGCCGATCCGACCAGGTCTGTAACTCTGGCTAGGTCTGTGGCTATGGCTAGGTCTGCAACTCCGGCTTTATCTGGCGCTCTGGCTCTGCTCTGTGGGTCTAGTCAGGTCTGGGGTTCTGGGTGCTAGGCTAGGCTAGGCTAGGTTTGTCTCTCTGGTTAGGTTTGTAGATCTAATTTGGTTTGTTTTTGCAGCAACAAATAAACAATTTTGTGTCCTGATAGTGTAGAAAAAATAAAAATATGAAATATTTCAATGCTTCTATGTTATTCGAATATTTCTGTTATCATTCATGGTGCAGTGACCTCATGACGCAATACTTGCAGGTGATCCGACGGTGCGGATGCTCGCGCATGTCTCCAGATCAGCGCTCACGAGGGGGTTGGGAAGGGCCCGCCATCTTGCGGCACGGCTCTTACATCAAGTTTGGGTGAGAGAGAAACTCCTCTTCATATGTTGATATTTTCCCTATTTTCCATCATAGTTCTTAAGGTAATGCTGTAATTATTTCCTTCTGATATCAAGTTCCAACATTTGTTTAACTTCGTATAGTTGCCATGTTTACTTTGATGATCGTGCCATCTAGTATTGAAAAATAAATACTTTGAGTTGAATTTCGAATGTAGTGAAAGGGAGTCGTCGTTGTTAAGACTAGACCGCTCATTGGGATCTTGGATTCAAAAGTGTTGTCCAGAAAGCAGTTGATTTTTGGGCATCGTCATCCTGCCAGTTCTTTGGGGGGGTCCAGTGTTTCCTGTTTTCTTGAGCCAAGTTTTTAATTTAAAACATATAGTAACAAAAAATAGTTCCATATTCCATCTGTAAAAAGTTGTATTCTCCATCAAAATTTATGGTGTGTTTTTCACGTTGGGCGTGTAGGATTTTTTAAATTACTCAGCCTTCATCATTTGATATTCCCGTCTCCTGTGTAATTGATGTCACTAAGGATATTCACCATGCATTTATGGTTTAATCTTTGTCAACTCACTGAGTTGCGCGTGCGTTGCAGATGTGTGAAGTTCGTGTTCAGTGTGGTGGAGACAGCAAGCCTGGGCAACTGGCGCACGGTCACGGAGGAAGCTTACACTAAATTCTACGAGCGCGAGTGCCGTGAGCGACGCGAGCAGCAGGAGGCTGCAGTCGCAGCGGCAAAGTGCAAAGAGAAGGAAGTGGCTCGGGCAAAGGCAAGCAAGGATAAGCATAAAGACAAGGACCAGCATGATATTAAAGAGCCCGTGCATAAAGAAAATCACGAAAAAGAAAGGAAAAAGGAACCTAAAAAAAGCAAGAAAGATAGAGAGAACAGAAAAGAAAAAGAGGCCAAAAGCAAATCTTGAAACTGTTCCATGCATGTAATCCGTACCTGCTGTTCTCTCCAAACCGCCGTCATCAATTGAGCTGTCAGTATTATTTTATTTAGATGGCAACTTTATGGGCGACGTGTAATAAACTTTTCTGAGTCTTTAAAAGATTCTTTTTTTAGGGACGTTCCATTTGGAATTTCTACGCTTACGTCGAGAAGGAAGCGACTAGCCCGCCACGGGACGTCGACTTTACTTCATCTGACTCAGCATTATTTAAGCTGTGATGTCATTTGGGGAAATTTATGCGCGCAAATGCATTCATATAATTATAATCAGATTATTATGTTTTATCGACCGATGAGGAGTTTTGCGTTTAGTTCTTTTAAGGCGAGGACAGCGCGGTTAGAGGTTTCCGCCGTGTGTTTTTAGGTATCCGCCGTTCACTGTGTTGCGGCCTAAAGGCATGAGGCGACCTTGGAGAATCTCAACTGGCTCATTCTAAAAGCGTCTTTAGCAGGGTTGAGCTAAAGCGTAGAATTACGAGTACGAAAATTTCGTTCTTCTTTAAGGAAGTGAATAGAAAACAATGCCTTTTGAGTATTGCATTCAGTTAAAACATCTTGGCTTTGTCAAGATTTCTGTGCTTAGAGCGTAAACCCATTGATTAAGATAATAAGATGTAATGACGAAAATGTCTTGTATCCATCGCTGACGTTGCTATCACTCGACGTTGACGTCGTGATATTGTAATTATTCAATGTAGAAATTATGTTGTTTGTTTTTTCTTCTAAATTTTATGTTACTTACTTTTTGAAACCGTCAAATCGCGTGTAAACGTGTAAAAATGAGGAGTGTTTTTTTGGAATGGTACGCTAAATTTGGTGAAGTCGCAATTCTTCAATATTATTTGAGTGTTCTATTATGAGCTTTATTTTATCTTGTCTTTGGCATTCGTATATTTTTTCTAAGTTTGAAGGATAGCTATCGTAATTATTGCTGGAGCTTGCTCATGTCCGAGGGTCATACTTTAGACTAATCGGGGATCTGGATTCAGCTCAAGAAGTAAGTAATTAGGTTCATACATAGTCTCTCTTGAGTCATGAGTGAATTGAAATTGTGTGTGTATCTTAGATAATGCGGTCGTTATACGTGAAAATGGAGGTTCTGAACAAACAAATGTACAATAAGTTGCTGAATAGATATTTCTGTTAACTAGTATGTGACCCCCAGTGAATGCATCCGTGTCACAGGTGTCCCGATTATTGGCTCCACGTTCACTTGAGTTGCTTTTCAACAAATAATTACTAACTCTCTAGATTTTGAGACTTTACGAAGCTGATAGGAGACACTCCTTTACATTTCTCCACTATGCCGAGTCTCGTTACTGAAATCTTGTCATATTTCCTCGCTTTTATGAGGTTCGTGTCGTCTAATTTTTTCAGGTTATCCGATGTCACCAGGGTTAACAATATAAGTGTTCGATAGACCCGTTATGAAACACGATTGTCTGATCGTTCTTCAATTCCGGCATTCATGATGTCCTCATCGCATCAGCCTATCCCTCTTGCAGTTATATGGTTGACAGCTGAAACGTAGCCGTGGAAGCAGTTATTATCGAAACTTGTTATCGAAGTGACCCTGACCTGTGTGTATGACGATATCCAGATTTGAAGTACGACTTTGAAGTTTGTTATTTCCTGTAGCCCCCACAAGATTCTCTATCAAATTCAACGCGTTCGTGAGGCATAAATTGCAGCCAAGAATTTATCGAGAATGATTAAACCATTTGCTTGCGTTATTTTATTTTTATTTAAATGAATGGAGTCACGTTCTGCGAACCGAGACAAGAAACGCATCCAAGTCTTCCATCCCTGGATGACCGACGGCGAACATAGTGGCTGACACCTAATGAATTCTTGATGGAGGACATTAGTATTTGTAATTAATATTATTCAAGTTTGGCTATCGTTTTTGTGTCAGCTCTCGTCTTGTGGTAAGCTAGAGTTGGAATTGTTCGTAAATAGTAAGTCGCTGGCAAAGTTTTGCTGCTCACTGTCGTCGCGTGTAAGTCCTGTAAATATCTCTTGCATTTGACGGTCCGCTCTCCTGCGCAGCCTTTTAGCTGTAGCTTCTTCCTTGTTTAATCTTTCCGTGACGTGTGCGCAATAATAAATTCATTGTCATTCATTCCTCGCCAAATGTGTTTCAAATATTTTGTAATTATGTAAAAATATGATTTTATACTCTCATTTTAATCTTGTTGTTATAGTGGTATCTAGCTTAGTCATTCTTTTGACTTGAAATGTATTTTAACGGACTAATATATAGTTTGAAAACTACGTCTTGTGATCCTTTACTGACATTCAACAGACAAGACAAGCAACACGTTCGAGTAACTGTAACAAGTATTGCTGCAGGATATCCATTAACAGCCAACACGCTTGAGGGTGAAAATATTTATTCAGCACTGAATATTTCGCTCTGTTATCAGTAATGGGGGCCTTTACTTACATGAAACTTCCATTTATTTCCTTACATCGGTGTCTGGAAATTAATGTCCATCGTTTGCGAACAAGAACAAAAGCACTCTTAACGCTAAAAGTGCAATCTAAGATGAGCCATAACAGTATTCGCAAGAACAGCACAGTGAAATAATATAAGATTCTTATGGTAAATATACTCTTTCTTTTGTCCTCTTCACCACTAGGGTATCAATTGAACCCCCAGGGCGGGAAGGAGGGAGGATTCAGACTGCGCGAACTGTGCTCGCTTAAAAAGCACTGAAGTCACTGAAGCTGTACGATTTAGTTGTCTTCTTGGCCACGTCCTTCTGTTGCTTGGCTTTTTCTTCTTCTGTTTTACTGTAAAATGAAATTACGAACTTAGAAAGTTATCGGGGGTAAAAAAATATTCTATCACAATTATCACTTGAAAATTTATTATCACGAAAAAGATGGGATTATCCTCCAGTGCACAACTAAAATTCCTGCGCACATTAGTATTGGCGATGTGCAACCTGCCGGCAATTTCAATGACCCACGCTCATCGATGGCAACGGTCTACTCGTCTACTCTCAACTGTCGCTAGTCTCAAGACCAACATTAGGCGAGAGTGGCCTTGGGGAGGAGGATCAAGCACCTCACCTGAGGGTGCTCTTGGGGTCGAGGAGCAGACACCTCACCTGAAGGTGGTCTTATTGAGGTCGAGGAGCGAGAACTACACCTGAGGGTGGTTTTATTGAGGTCGACGAGCGAGATCCTCACCTTAGGGAGGTCTTATTGAGGTCGAGGAACTTGCCGACGCCGCTGCGGAAAGGCTGTAGTTTGTTGTCGTCAGGTCGCGCTCTTTTCGCACCACGCAGCTCGGCCTGCTCAGCTGCAGCCGCCGCTTCGTCGGCCGCTCTCTCTTTCGCCAGCTGAATGGAATAATTCACTATCTATACAATGTACTATTTATAAAAATGAAAACACACTAAAAAAGGTAAAAACTAATTATAGCACGTTCATTTTTCCAGTCACCCAAGTAGAAGTTATCTTCTACGAATTTATTGTTAATCAAATTGCTACAGAGCTCAAAGGAAAAAGTGTAAAGAACACCAAAAAAAGGGCGATGTTCTCTAGTAATTCGACTAGTCATTGGATGAGAAGAAGAGTTCCCTAGACCTGTTCATCGACGTCTTTGAAGGGGTTGACGAAGACTATAGCCTTTCTGATGACGATGGGCGTGACGGGGACGTCTTTATTGTCAGTCTCGACGGCCTCCATGGCTTTGAGCGTCTCGAGGCCGCCCACCACGCGCCCGAATATCGAGTGCTTGCCGTCTAGGTGCTGGCACGACCTGAACGTGATGAAGCTGCGGGCACACAACATGTTATGAGTGACACGAGTATTCAGGAACAATGGAGAGTGATAGACATTCATGATTTGATTAATACCGTCATTATTGGAGTTATAACAGTTGGAATTGTCTGGAATCTTACCAATATTAAAAAAATTTGAAATGAACGAAAATAAATCATTTAGTTGAAAGGTTCGCACGAACTTGAATGATTAACAATAGGTTGTTTTTAATGAACATATATTGATACAAATTCCATAATCTGCTCTGAAACTACACTTGTTATAGATATTGAAGATCTAGAGGCTGTGCACGAGACGTCGTAGGAAGTAATGAATTACAGCTCATTTGGTCACACGAACATTGAGTTTCTAAAAGACATATAGCGCGGCCCTCACAGACCACACTTCGATTACTCAATTTATCAAATACCTTAGTAGTGAATCTTCGAGGTTTTGTTCAAGCAAAAAATTAGGAAATAAAAAGAGAAGAAAATTAATTTGCAACATAGAAATATTAAGAGGACACATAACTCAGGATTTTGTCTAGTAAGTGATGTTCCACGACTAACGACGGAAGACATTCGAGTTCTGTGGCTAGAAGAGGATGATGACATTGCAAGTAAAGGATGACTCACAACTGACTCTTGTTGGTGTCGGGGCCGGAGTTGGCCATGGACAGCACGCCGCGCCCTTTGTGCGAGTACTGAGGGCGGAACTCGTCCTTGAAGGCGCCGCCCCAGCAACACTCGCCACCTTTGCCGGTCCCGGTCGGGTCCCCTCCTTGGATCTGCAATTAGGCAGAAATAAAAATGTATAATCAAATTTATGGCAAAGAATCCTTAGCTTCATTCATAATTTTCTGCGAAAACTTAACTGAGAAGCATGAACATAATCTACCACAAGGAAATGAATAATGCAAACTGTCAATGAACGGAGTAAGAAACCAGGCGTGATCTCAACATAAATCATGAATAAGCAAATTAAATTTAATGATCCCCAAGAGGCCGATATAATAAGTGAAAAGTTTACAGGACAGAAGCGAGTGCTCACCATGAAGTGTCGTATGCAGCGATGAAAAATGGTGTTGTCGTAATAACCTTTAAGGCAGAGGTTGATGAAGTTATCACTGGTCTTCGGCACGGTGTCGCAGTAGATCTCCAAATTGACACTTCCTAAATTGGTGTCAAATGAAACGTAACCTGCAGTGGAGTAAAAAACATGAAGGCAATGAGGTGGGTAGCAAATACACGAGAAAAGGTCTTCCGACACAATTCTTTTTAAATGTAAATTTATGTTACCAGCATTCAACTAAATTAGAATAGCCATTCCAGCAGGAGCAAGCATGCAATTGACAGTAGTCGATTTTCATGAGTAATTTAGAGGTAGCATTACTTTTTCATTACGCTTCGTCCGTACTTAGTAACTGGTATTTATTTATTCATTACATGCTAGCGTTAATATCCATTAAATGCTATATTTGAGAATTAATGAAGTCAACGTGGCTGGAAATGCTAGATGGATACACCGGCAAGCTACCGCCGGATGAGCACCTTTCTTTTTAGTGCGCGCGTATCTGACGACGTGGTCCTCCAGCAGCGCGGGCTGGTGCTGCGTCTCGACCGACGTCGCCGTCGACGTCAGGCTCGCCGCTACCGCTCCCGTCGAGTAGTGGGCCTGGGGGGGGGGTCGAGGGTGGTGATGTCAGCATCATGCTAGCGCAGCACGTTCAAGAGGCACATGCAGCACGTTCAAGAGGCACACGCAGCACGTTCAAGAGGCACACGCAGCACGTTCAAGAGGCACACGCAGCACGTTCAAGAGGCCCACGCAGCACGTTCAAGAGGCACACGCAGCACGTTCAAGAGGCACACGCAGCACCTTCAAGAGGCACGCGCATCACCTTCAAGAGGCACACGCAGCACCTTCAAGAGGCACACGCAGCACACACACGCAGCGCGTTCAAGAGCCACACGCAGCACGTTCAAGAGGCACACGCAGCGCGTTCAAGAGGCACACGCAGCGCGTTCAAGAGGCACACGCAGCACGTTCAAGAGGCACACGCACAGGACAAGTGTCCTCCTGTCAATATATGACAGGAGAACAAGTGACAGGAGAACAAGTGACAGGAGGACAAGTGACAGGAGGACAAGTGACAGGAGGACAAGTGACAGGAGGACAAGTGACAGGAGGACAGACCGCGTTGAACTTGTCAGGACGACGCTGGGCGGGGTCGTGGACGGCGTTGTCAGGCTTGTACGTGGCGTGGAAGTGAGCGAGGATGTCCTCAGCGTCTTTGCTGACATTCTTGAGGCGGTGCGAGGCGCTCGTCTTGTCTCGCTCGCTCTCTGGGCAATAAATAAATGTAAACAATATAAGCTTAATGATAAAGCTTAAAGGCGTCAACAGCTTAACTCTAGAGGGAATGTATAGATACAAATGTACCTTACCAGGTACGATTCTAAGGTTGCAAAAATTTTGCTATCTGACGAGATTTAAAGTTAATCATAGAAATTAGGTCAGCTATGCCAGATATTGCCTAAGTAAACCGATTTGCACGAGGCAGTCTACACGCCAAGGCGCTGCCCGTCTTTAAAGTTGTAATTTTGAATGATCACAATTCGGGAATCCAATTATTGCTCGCGTTATCGCGCACCTTCAATATGACTGGTGACTATGTAGAAATTGTGAAATTACAGCACGCGTAAATGTGGAAAATTAGAAACTTTTCAGGACAGCATTTCATTCGAAATTGACCAAGACAGTAGACCTAAATATGCAGCATGGAAGCTCATTCGAATTTCGTTGTTCCAAGTTTACCTTCATCGACAAGTCGGATGTTATTTTTGATGTGGTAAAAATCGGCGATGTTGAATTTGTCGAGATGTAGAGGGTCTTGCAGCGTGATGATGTCTTCTCGCGTGAAAGCAACATCGGTGAGCAGGTCGCGCCAGTTGTTGGCACGGATGTTGAGCTGTTCAACGGCCTGGTGCAAAACATTTAATTCTCAGTGATAAAGAAGTAATAATCAACACCGTTTAGATTCTACTTGAAGGTTTAGATGCTACTTGAAGGTTTAGATACTAAGGTATGTTTAAATAAATACTAAAGGTTTAGAAGGTTTAGATACTACACCGCTTGAAGGTTTAGATACCAAAATGACGTTGTAAATGTCAGAGGCCGAGGTACTCACTGAATGAAGAGATTTTCAATGTAGTTAATCTCTCATTGAAACGACGCGTAGCAATCGGCGAATAATCGGCGCGTCATCGTAAGTCAAGAACCCACGGCACCGGAGATAATGTTAAAAAAAATACTGCGCGAAATCTAATGGAAAGTTCTTATTAACCCATAAACTAGACCGTAAAGCGTTACGAGCTAAAGGCGATTTTCTATACGTAAGTAGATGACGGAGACTTAAAAAATGGTTAGTCAACTTCAGGCTTAAGTGCCAAGTAAAAGTAAGTAATTCAATGAGATTTAAACGAAGTCAATTTTAGTGCAAAGCCATGAAACTGAATTGAAATTTGAAGGCAGAATCTAACTTGGACTTCTTCGAAAACTAATAAATTTGCTTTGTGAAGGGATAATACAGTACAGCATAGGCTCGGAACTATCAACTTCCATTGCGAATGATGACAAACACGTTCAGACGAGAATCAATCTGCATTGATGGGGAACTTTAGTTTCGCAACGTCCAGGATGACGAAACTTCACTATTTGTAACATTCAACACGAACGTACTCAAATTACAAGCCTATTTCACAATAACAGTTAGTCACGGAGGTGAACGTCAAATGAATATTGCGTAGCTTTAGTGAACTGCAAATCTTGCTCGTTCATATATTAAGATAATAAATCTTCAATGAAAATTTTTAATGGAGGCATGAATGCAAGAAGCTTTCAATCAGGAAACGATAACGTGGTAAATAGTCACGCTAAGATGTCCACACCAGGATGACTGACATGAAACAGATTCCTAGCACAGGGCTTCACGGTAACAAATAGAAATTATCAGCACAGACAAGATCGTCGGTATCTCCAGGACGACCGTGGACTATGAACGTCGCAGCACGGCTGGCGGGACGCAACTGACCTCGCGTATCACGGCTACTCCGACCTGACCTCGCGCAGCCGCTACTGCGCACAGGTCGGCAGCTAATGTTACTGAGGTAGCTCAGTTACACGTCTTGTGCTTAGACACGACCGGTAAAAAACTACGAAGATTATGCTAACAAAAATTGGACGATTAACCGCTTGACTAACGAGATTTAGTAGGGAATGATCCATATCGTTTGAATTAGTCAACTGTTCATTAAAACTGGGATAATCTAGTTGAAAATTCTACAAAAGCACGAGCCACACCTCAATTTAGTGATGGCCGTTAAACTTCACTAGATTCTTGGATAAAATCCAAGTCAGTCACTTATCCGGTGCAACACCTAAACGAGTTCCGGGACTCCTGAGCTACACACCTCATAAGAAAAGACGTTGCCAGTGGTCTTGACCGCGACGACGTGCGTGTTGTTGGTGAAGGGCTTGTAGAGAACAGGGCAGTGGTACTCCACCGCCACGCCGCCGTCGCTAGAGGAGCTTCCTTCACCGCCACCGCCACTGCTGCTGCTCCGGTGGAACGTCACGCGAACCAACTGCTTCTCGTTCAGGGCCTGAGTCGTCATTTCAGGAGTCAATGTTTGGACAGTGAGAAGTGAGAGAGTGCATCGTTTCAGGAGAAAAGAACAATGCACGAAAGTTACGAGATACTTTAGTACCAGACAGATCAACATGAATGTGCTGCTGGCAAAGTAATAATTTTCATTCATGAACGTAAGCCCAGAAAAATCTTATTGCAGATGAAGATGGTCCACCGATGAGAGGAAATAACCGTCATGGAACATGGTTATTATCAGTGAAATATATTTTGCCGGAAGACGCATTTTGCACACCACACAACCAGCACCATTTCTTGCATCCAATGCGTCAACCTCATACAGAGAGTCCACATATTATTTTGATTCATAGCAATAACATAAAGTCGAGGTACACATGACAATAGACTATAATTCGATGTATGATTACATAGTACGAGAAGATATTTAAAATGCTCCTCCACTCTGTACACACCGAGCCCGTGACGGGGTTCAGCTTGAATTTCCTGACAAAAGGTAAAATGGCCTCCAGATCATAGACGTTGCCCTGAGGGTCGACGTAAGGATGGTTAAAGGGCACGAGCGAGAGGCAGCAGTGGCTCAGCGGCAGCCTCCTGAAGGCGGCGCGCGCCCCTGAATGAGAAGACTTCTTGTAGCCTCCGTAGAACTGTGACCACTCGGTGGTGGTCAGGTACCTGCAGGAGGGCAGGCCGATTCATAGATGGTAGCTTAAAAAAGTCTGATAAACGAACAAAACATTAACACTGTTCCGATATTTTACAAGATTAAGATCGCGACTATAACATAACATTATATTTGAAGATAAAGACCGGGATCTCATGCCGTAATGTTCGAAGATTAAGATCGTAGATCGTGACCAAGAAAATATTTTTCAAGATCAAGAGCGTGATCCATCTAATGTCTGCCATGAACATGGAACTACTCAACACCAGCGAAATAAAATTCTTAGAATAAAGTTGACTCACATTTTATCGCTCTGGTGCTGTCGCTTGCCCATCTTGCAGGTTTGTCGTTAAGAGCTTCTAGATAGTAATTTAAATATTACGTTTGTTACTTTCTTATATACTTTGATCGCTGTGCAACTAATAGAGGCCTACGAATTCTTGGTAGGCTATACAATCAGGATGCGTATCCAAATTAAGGTACTTCAAAGATGACCGAATGTTTGTTTAGTGTAAATTTAGACCATGATTACATCACGGAACTCAGACATTGTAGCCTGCTCATCAAGACGTAAATTTCAGCTCAGCGTAGGTAGAGAAACATTTGTACAATACCAATCGTCAAACCATTGCTATAATTTTACTTCAAGTTTTTTTCCTAGAATATGTCGAAATATAAGAAATAGCACTTTCTTTAGTGTACACTGCTCAGGGACCGGGGGAGCGTGAGGGCCCCTGTGGGCAGACGGCCTCACCCCTTGCGGGTATGGATTCTCACGTAGATAATAGGTAGATAGGTAATAGATAGGTAGATAAGTAATAGGTAGGTAGATAAGTAATAGATAGGTAGATAAGTAATAGGTAGGTAGATAAGTAATAGATAGGTAGATAAGTAATAGGTAGGCAATAGATAGGTAATAGATAGGTAGATAAGTAATAGATAGGTAGATAGGCAATAGATAGGTAGATAGGCAATAGATAGGTAGATAGGCAATAGATAGGTAGATAGGCAATAGATAGGTAGATAGGCAATAGATAGGTAATAGATAGGTAGATAAGTAATAGATAGGGAACTAGAGAGCATACGGAGCGACCTTCGTTGTGTGTATGAATTCTACGCTGGGAACTTGGCAGCTACCAACCTTTATAAGTTTATATAGTTCCACAAAGCAATAAAAAAGATGCGTTTCGTCGTGTCAGGTATTACAAACATCCCAGGCATGAGTGTACGAGGTAATGAAACGAGGCGGCGTATAAGGTTCAATATATAATCTTACAAAGAGAAATAAATAGAACAAAGCTGTACACAGAGTAGAGTTGAGCGTCACACATCAATTTCTTGGAGCTACACTCGTCTATTGATACTCAATAATTCGAATAGTCGTGAGTTCTACAACTGTCGTAAGTTGACTGATGGTGCTAAATCCTATTTAGGGTAGCGTGTTCATAATCAAGGTCTGTAATTTATCGGTGCAGTTATAATTACATTATCAAAGGCATCGTAGTTATCTTAATCATAATCCCCGGAATCTCTGCACGGAAGAAATGCACGCTAAGGCAGTGGATCTAATTACGGGTGTAACTTTATAAAAAAAACTGCATGGAACAACAAAGGATTTGGCGAAACAAAAACACGCTCTCAAAAAATTCATTTGTAGACGAGCAGTTTGTAGTTAAACTCTTGAACTCGTCCACTGTTAAGCACACGTTATTTAAGCGGGGCAGTTGCTTGAGCTTTGGGGGTTTCAAGCATCAGATAGATAGGTAGCCTTAGCTGAGACCGTCCCTAAGCTGCTAAATCTTTTACTACTGGAACAACTCAGCACGAATGTGACGGAATACTCAAACAGATAAATTTATCGTACATCTCCCAACCGTTTACAATCCTTTTTCAGAAAGTTCAATACGAGAACTTGAAATATTCAAAGAACTTACCGTCACCGTCAAACTCATGACAATTGTAGCTCGTACGATCATAGCCAACCGTCGCGAGTTTCGTCATTTTACAGCAAATCAAATATGAATCAATAAATGTCTAAACGATTTTAAAATATTCATCAACTTTTTCGTTACGTTGCTTTTCAATAGTCCTTTTCACGACACATTTTAAAGGTAAATTGTATAGAGGAAAAAAACGCCGCCACTAACAGGCAGTTGATCTCGTTAGCTTCGAGACAAGTAAGATTAAAAACCACCAGATGGATGCGTTCGGTGGCAGCGCTCTTAGCGGTGCTACGCAACCTATACCAACGCTACGTACTGACTTCGCTACAGCTACTTGGTGATTGACGTGCTTACATGTTTCACATAACTAATTAGACATGCTTTCATTGCAGTTAACAAAAAAATGAGTGTTGTTCTCGTGCTGCTTCATTTGTGCTTGTAGAAAATTAGGCACTAAAGTCACCTTAGTCTACGGTGCGTCACTTGAGTATTACAACGACCTTCCTCGTTAAAAACATTACAAAGAGCACGTTACGGAAGTTTCAACATTTCGTTGGGATACGCGTTTACATCGCGTACATCCCATGATGTTTAGCGGAATCAGAGCTTTGAGTGATGCCGCTCAATTAGAGTAGAGATCAGGTTTACAAACGAACATTTCGTGCCATAGAAATACAGCTGGCAGCACTGTAATGAAGTTGAACTGGAGACCACAAATCTATTACTCCTACCGTGGCAGGCTTAAATTTCTTTCAAAAGATGAAAAATACGTGCTGGAGCGAATATTTTTCAGAATCCGTTACAAAATGATACGAAGAAACGCCTCAAACATCAGTTCAAGCGCAGGACGGCAGGCGATGAGTTATGAGAGCGCGGCTTTGTTGCTCGCATAGTCACGGGAGTACGCGCACGGAAAACGTCACGGCAATACATATACTGGAGAAACTATTATATGGGACATGTCACGGGGAAACCCCTATTTGGGATTTGTCACAGGAATCCATTACACGGGAAACGTCCCGAGAATCAATTATGAGGAAGTAGTCACTGGGATCCAATATACATGAACATTTTATCAGAGAAATGTTGTCTTAATACACGCGGGAATAGTGCCGGGACCACACAACGGTGGCGTTCGAGGGAGTTGATTGCGTTAGAAGTTCTCAATGTAGTAAGATCAACGTAAATTATGCACGCTGTCAAAGTAAAACATTTTAATCCTGTTCATTGCGATAAAAAATTGTAGTAAGCCAGTATGTTAGACCCGATATTAAAATAAAAATCTAATCACTATTAATAAACAAAAGCGGCAAACGTGCAACAATAACTAGAAAGACATTCGAAAACGCAACCGGGAAATTGTGTCAGCATTAGCGCTACAATCTGAGTAGCGGATCAGTCACGTCACAGTTAGGCCGGCTTCCCACCATGCTGCCGGGCACACTCCATGCATATACCAGTCACGGTACAGTCCAATATTTTTAAGGGGCATTTCTGTATAAGCATTCACACCAGCCGTGCAAGGCACCTGTCATGCGCATGGTGTGAATGCTTCTATGTACATGCATTAAATAATATTGGACTGGACCATGACGGGCATATGCCTGGCACGTGCCCAGCAGTATGGTGTGAACCTGACCTTAGCGTCACAGTCTGCGTAGCGGGTCACAGTCAAGACAAAGTAAGTGACGTGGATAGCTCCATGAGACCATACCACGACGTAGGATCATCTACACAACACATAAATAACTAGACTGTTATTCTTGACAGAATGTAGAAGATCAGAAAGTTAGGAAACACAGAGATGCGTCGATACGATGAGAATGAAGATTAAAAATATCAGACGTGCTACTGGCAGTATAGGGTCGCAGCCCGTAGCTCGTCAACATGGTGGTCGGGGAAAGGCGATAATTTGACATCACATATTATTTTGTGGACAATATCATGAAAGAAAAACGATAACACTTTATTTCTAAAATAAACAATTTAATAGGCTCGTCTCCTAGATCTTGCGTACTGGTTACATAGCACGCGGGAAGCTACGTAACAAGGACTAAAATTATACGAGATAATCAATTTAATCGGACGTAATTTGTTCATGGCAAATTGATCAACAGATGCCCACGAAAGTCCAACAGGGACTCTACAACAGCCGTTGACGCGCCGTTATCTTCCCTCATTAGCTTTATAAGAGTGATCGTTATGCTACGAACCAGGCTTCACTAGACTTCGAGACAGCAGAGGTCATAAGCGGGTCAATGTCTGTCAGGTCTACGCGACTATAAAAGAAACAAAAAAGTCAACTCAAGTTTACGAAGATTAAACATGAGTTCGATAAATGCACATGGCCTGGCTTCATCCAGGATTTTCTTCAATACAAATTTAAGCATACTGCCCACTTAGACATGCATTCAACAAGCCATAACTGAGCCCGATTAATACAACACTGGTCTTTCTGTCATCGCAATCAGTGAGCCTTGCCCTTAGCAGATGTTAAGCCAGTTGATCGACCGTTGCTTCTCGCCGGACTGCCCCAATTCTCTTTTTTATGACCGCCGTGAGAGTTTCGGGCAGGACTGCTCTGCAGCGCATCTCTCTTGACTTGAGTAATACTATTACGAACTTTAGCAGCCGTCTTAGTTTTACCGCTACCGTTGCCGTTATTTCGAATAGTTGTACTAGCGTTGTCGTGCTCCTGAGAAGTCTCGAGAGTATTTGAGCTATCAGCTGAGTTATCGCTGTTGCCGCGAAAACAATTAATGCCGTCAGTGACAGCTGACGTTTTATCACACGAAGAATTACACGAGCCCACACCGGAGCTCGACGAGGCCGAATTGTGGCTATGGTTTGGACTTTGGCTCACGTGACTAAGGCGGGGACCACTCGGCCTGGCGGGAGACAACTCGCTGGTCTCCTCGTGAGCTTCTAGAGACTGTGAGCAGTTGGGAGTAGCTGGGTTATGGTCATGGTCGTAATGACCGTCAAGGTCGTGATGATACTGTTGGTACTGAGGTGTGGCGTAGTCGTCACGGGGTGGGTGCTCGGCGTAGTTGCCACGGTAGCCGCTTGTGGAGTCGAACTCAGAGTCGGGCGGGGGAGCTGTTAGGCTGCAGAATTCATAGTCCGCGCTCTGCACGGTAAAACTTTACTTAGGACTTTATATAGTTGACCAAGACATGATGCCTTATTTCATGAAATAATATCATGAACATAATTATTTCGTGAAATATCATGAACATAATTGAATAATTGCTGAAATGACGAAAGACTAGGGCGCAGATGCTGGTACACCTAGAAGACTAGTTGCCAGATGGTGTGATACACAAATGATTCGTGGGTAGGTGGGTGGTCCCCCAAATGTTAGTGGGCAGATGGGTGAGCCCCCAAATACTAGCGGGCAGATGACTAGTTACCGACAATGGCAGTTCAGACTTGACACTCACGCGTCAAAGTTCCAGTTACACAGCACCAAAACGCTCCAATTTTGACGATAATCTCTGAAAATTCCCGACGTGAAATTTCCCCATCACCTTCAGTGTCAAGTGTGATATTGTTAAGTGTTGTGTGTTATTGCAACGCTACACAGCATTCAGCAAGTGATACTTCACATACCTGATGGTAGTCGCCGTTGGGATCCTCCAGTTCGTTCAGTGCATCTTCTCCCTGCAGGGAAAGAAGATTATACTTTAACTTGATGAAAATTGCTACTTCATTGCTTACTGCAACTACATTTCTTCAAAATTTCACAAGGACCTCACAGGTGACCAACGTTGGGGCTGTTCATTTGTTATTTCTCAAAGAAAGTTTAGACCAATTGGAGTTATACAACAATACAAGGAATCAATGGAGTTGCAATGAGTAATTGTATTCATTCTCTAAAAACCTGGTTCAGAATCCCCCAGAAAAATTAAGAACATTAGCAGAATAATCAGATATGCTGGAAGCTTTTCAAGAGTGTGTTAACAGAGGAAAAGCTAATACTTTATTATTCGACCGAAGACGGAGCTAATAATAGAATATCTATCGCCCAGGACTGACAAGGAGCCAAGGATGCTGCAGGACTTGCTCCGCTGTGAAGCGCGTGGCAGGGTCGACCAGCACCATGGCGGCGATGAGGTGGCGGGGCTGGGGGCTCACGTGGTCCCAGTAGGGCGACGGGAAGCTCAGGTGACCCGCCAGGATTTGCTCGAACAATTCCTCTTGGTTGTTGCTGGCTGATATGAAGGGCGGGAACCCACACAGAAGGATGTATGCTATAACTCCAGCCGCCCAGATATCGACCTGCATTATTGAGTTCTTTCAGAAACATTCATCTCGTTAGCAAGGTTCTAACTTGTTGAACGCTAAGTAAGTAAGTCGCTACTTATTCCAAAATATCGAACAGGAATTATAAGCTAAATTGTGCGAATTAGCAGACCAAGGCGATTGCTTCGATTACATAAGACATCGGCGGACATACCAAATAATAATTGAATGGAACGGTGACTTACTTTGTGGAGGATCAGCAAATTAGTCAACTTGATGCTAATATGCAAGCATTCATTTCGCTTGCTTTGAGATAGCATGCTCTTCATTAAATAAATATGGTGCAGCATAAAAGTCGCCATAAGCCATTTAACGCCGCAGTTGCCGAAGTATAGACTGTACCTCAAATTAACTTCGTGGGGTTGAAATTGAATCAAACACTTCCTATCAACTTGCCGCACATGAAAAGTAAACACTAAAACTCAGCTTATGGTGATGTTTCATCGCTGCAAGCAGCAACTTGCCCTAATATATGTATACATATGCAGTGCTCTGCCTTTTGCTAGAGATTCCTCCATCTCACCTCGAGTCCATATCCCTCCTCTGCAAGTATCTCAGGAGCGACATAGGTGGGCGTGCCGCAGATGGTGTACAGCGGTTCCTCCAGCTGCACTGCAAGTCCAAAGTCGCCGAGCTTGAGCCGCGGCATCGGACCAGGCACCACCTACGGCATCAAGGATAAATGTTTAACACTACAAGGTTTTCAGCATACATCAGCGCGAGGCTGACGATATGCTACATGACAAAATATTGGGTTTAAATTCAGCTCACAAATACTAACATGGAATGTATGTATTAAATTGAGAATGGGCATTTTGGTGCCGGAACACAAATTGGAGAGTTCATGCTATAAATTAAAGTGTAGCTCACCAGTAAGTTCTCAGGCTTGACGTCCCTGTGGACGATGTTCCTGAGGTGAAGATACTGCAGAGCGGACGCCAGATCACGGATGAGATGGCCGGCTTGACTCTCCGTGTAGTGTGTTGCGGCAGCGATGGCATCAAACAGATCGCCGCCCTGCACAATTAACCAATTAATTGCAGTAACACTACGACATACAAAGAGCATTTTGCAGCACATCTAGGCAATAAACACATAGTATTTATCAAGAAATTTCCTACTGCAACGCTGGAGCCAGACGGTGCACAAGAGGACACGACACGCATCACACACGGTAGCCTACTTCTGTACGTTGATCATATTAAACATGTGAGTTGTATCAACATCTTCAGCATTTATGAACTTTGATAATCCTAAGGTCTCTGACAGTAGATAAGATAATAAAAAAATTAAAAACCACGGATTTGCCCCTATGATTTTGCCCTTAACTGGGTCATGGAATTTCCTTTCGTAAGCAACAAAAAGATAGAAGCTAATCATGACCTAATAGACTGAGACTTAACTGGAAGACGAGTATACCAGGAGATTAAATATGGAGCGACCTCAACTCACCGTGACGAGCTCCATGACAAGGTAGAGATAGTCAGGACAGTGAACCTCTTCAATCAACTGTACGATGTTTTCATGCCGGACCTGATGGAACATCAGGAACAGATGACAACTCTATACTGGGACGTTCAAGTTATTTACGAAAGATTTACACCTTAACAAGCTTATCATAATGGCTAGAATCTACTTAATCAAAACAATATACTCACAAAACATAGGTAATATCAGCAGTCAGTGATTTTGCTCGCAAAACTTACTGCGAACTACCAACATTTAAATTCATTTCTGAAGTATTTAAAAAACCTGGAACAAATATATTTGTGCTACATACTCTATACAAATGTCAAAAATTGTATGCTAAAATGATTGATGAGCCGCACCTTCCTGAGGATATCGACCTCGCTGTGGATCATGTCCTCCTTGCCCTCACACTTGGACTTGTCGATGATCTTGAGGGCAAACCTGCGTCGGGGCGGCACGAGCTCGCGACACTCGCGCACCACCGCGAAGTTGCCGTCGCCCAGCACCCGCCCAACGCGATACCTGCGCCATAAACTCGTTCATGAGGTGCCTTATAGGAACTCGTTTTGTAGTGCATTCAATACATTGCTATCAATATCGTTAGTAATTTTGGTGATATTCATTAATTTAGTAATATTGATATCATGGAGCATGTGAGGTTAAGATCAGGCACGGTTGTATGTTGTCTCGCCATTAAAGATATTGTCAGGTCGTGATGTCATTAGTTACCCTTACGTCACCTTCTGTGATGTCACTATTCGCGGGTCACCGCGTATATAAACTCGGTGAGCTGACTGCCAGTCAGTCTTAGAAGAGTCTTAGGCAGACAGCCTTCAGCTGCGGTCATGCAGCTAACTCTAGACGCGCTAACACCGTCTTAGACTCCGGCACTCATACCAACACGCAGTGTCGTAAAACTCTATCTCTAATATTTACGCCTAGATACACGACTTGTTATTATCCTTCCCTGGCCAATGAATATTTAATATGTTATTCGGACATAAATCAAACGAACCAAAACCCCTCAGGTTTTTCTACTATTGATTTGAAGATCTTCGATTGAGGAACTTATCAATTAACAATCAGGTTGCCAGCAAACCGGTAACCTGACAATATGTCCGAAGTGTTGGGCCTTGTTAAAGGCAACATATTAATCCTGAGGGGATCCCACCTGGAGGAAATGGCAGAGGGCAAGAAGAGGTCCTCATTTGAGGGGAAGGAGATGTGAGGAGAAGAAGGGGGACGATGTTCTGCCACATCCCCTCTGCTGGGGCGAGACCCTCGAGGTAAACTTCCTGTGGAGAATGTGAGGAATGTCAGCGCAACACGGCAGAGATTGTTGCTCTTCGTACAGAATAAACGAGCCGGGGGTCGGGAGTGAGGGGGTCGGGAGTGAGGGGTTCGGGAGTAAGGTGGTAGGGAGTGAGGTGGTAGGGGAAAAGAATGTCGGGGATCACGATGTTGAGGTCGGGGCCAGGGAAGTAAGAATTAAGAGGGTCGGAAGTCACGGGGTGGCGGAGGTCACGGGGTGGGAGTCCAAGTCAGGAGGTGAGTTGACCAACAGAATTGCACTGTTTTGTAGCCTCAATCCTGAGGTGCCAAGGCTAGAGGCTGCCAAATCATAAATCAAAATTCCTCAAAATAGTTCTGAAGAGACAATGAGTCACTATGCTAGAAGAGCAGACCTGAGTGTTCGAGGGTGAGGGGAGAGATGGCCCGGCCGCGGGGCTTGGGGGAAGGCATTCGTCGGCGCACCAGTGACACTCCAGCGCTCTTCAGGAGCGGCCTTACAGCCAGGCTCTCTGTAACAGAAGCATAAAGAAATCACTCAAGATATTCTCACTAAAATTACCTTAACTGAAATTGGCAGGCACTCCAGATAGGTACTTACAGTAATAACTTAATGGTAAATTTTCTTCTTATTTCATGAACAAAATATAAAAATTCGTCTGTTCTGTCAAGCTGTGCACAGCTGTCATCTGTGAGGAATAGGGTTGTCTCAGAAATGATATAACATGAATTTTTCAGCTTAGTTTCATTGTCAATGTTAGACAATTAATTAACAAATTTTGAGACATGCAAGCAAGGGGATGAAGAATAAAACAATTATGCAGCAAAAACCTTCAGCCTAAACTATCATAAAGCATATTTCAGCCTTGTACTAAATTTGTTGTGGCCAGTGGTCACCTTTATTGTCAAGGTAGAAGTCGTCGCGGCTGCAGCGTTCAGCGCCGCATGCAATGAACACATCCTTGCCCTCAAACAACTCTTTTAGAGCTGTCACCTGGGTTGTAAAGAAAACATACTTGATAAAGGTTTATATACCTATTAAAAGAAACATTATTTTTAGTAGGAAATCAAGAATTAGTTATCAGGCTTCTTTGAGTAAGTTTAAATAGTCAGAAGGAAAACTTGAGAAATGTTTTAGCAAGAAGATTGGCAGAAAATTAATAATGGAAGAGTGATCTCAAAAACTTATTCATTCAAGAGCTTTATAAAAATAAATAGGAGAGAAAAAAGACTTGCATTTAAATCAATGGTAGCACTGTTTTTTACCTGGCGTCCATCAAGGGTGTATATTTTCCTGACAGCGCCTGTGTCAAGTTTGAGAGACATGCTAAGGTCCTCCATAACCTGGTCCAGAGCTCGGGCTGTGCGCCTATTGAGCAACACACGTACAGCCTTGCGAGGTCGCTGTCCATTCCTGAGAACCGTTATCAATCGAGGTCTCATGTTGGATTCATCAAGATTCTCTAATGGACCATTTAGACGTGAAGAAGGAACATGCAAAGCCTCCCGTCTTCTGGTCTGCAGGTGCCATTGAGGAAGCTGAGCAGCTCTGTAGTCTATAGCTTTAAAACTATCAGTGCTTGATGCCACATAGTCGCCTGCATTGCACAACTGGTCCAACATGTCTATCTTGGTGCCTTCAAGAGTGAACACAAAGCGCACCCCCGCTGCCAAGTGCAATGGGTGCTCTAACAGGCGAGTCAGCTCCACGAGTAGAGAATCCCATGTCCGGTGTCGGTCTGAAGATACAGCCACAACTGCACCAGGAAACCATCTGCACAAGTAAAATAATTTCAAATCAAGTTTTAAAACACCGAAACTCCAGACTTCAGAAGTTTCATCTTGCTACAAAGTAACATTATTAACCACATAAATAATTCAGAAAACACAAGTTGATGCTAACAGGTCTGATGCAGGATAAGCTTAGTAGTAGTTCTGACATGGCAATAGGTGGTAAGAAATCTTACAATTAAGTACTGGTCCAGAGTTTATTGCTTAATGAATGCAACAGTAAAGGTGTAAATTGTAGCATATTTAATGACTACCGGTAGTTGTGTATCATCTGGATATTATTTTCTATGGGCTGTTGGCTACAAAAAAAACACTAAGTTACCTTTAGTCAGCCAATATAAAATTACATAATACCGTATTTGTCATTGACTGTTCTTAATGAGAAACCTGAGGAGATATTTAATGCCTTTATAAAAGTTTAACTAGTACTTATGAATAGCATGAATTGTCAATATATAGGGAGTTGACTTGCCATTAAGAGCAATCAATGAGCTCATTGTAAATAATGTGCCAATAAGGAGACTATAGAGGGCCTGTTACACAGGGAAAGAAAAGAAATTAAAGCAAATGCTCAAAGTATTTTGTGTGTCAACAATTTTTGAGGCATGTAAAAAATTAAAAAAAAAAACTTTCATTTTGGCGCATCATTGTAAAATCATATAACTATGAACAATAGGTAGTGGTCCCAAGAACATTGAAATGAATAAGTTTTGGCCACAAATTGGAGGCAAAGAAAGATGGAGTCAATTCATCATATTAATTACCTGTCGCCATTTCTGTAGAAGCGGCAGCGTTTGGCTCTTCTCTCTTCGCTCTGTCGAACAAGAGGCACTCTATTGACAGGAGCGGGTGAAGCTCTCCCACGTCGTGCAGCCCCTGTACTGCTGTTGCCAGGAGCACTGTGCGTTGACAGGGTGGAGGAAGTCATGGGTGTGGAGGAAGCTGCAGTCAAACATGATTCAGTCATGTTTGTAGTAGAACTGAACTGGCAAACATCATCAGCATCAGAGCACTTTTGAGGACTGACTGGATCTACAGTGAGAGTAATACCTCCTGTCCAGCCTCTGCTGGCTACCACACCACATTCAGAGGAACTCATGGCCAAGACAACACTACAACACTATAATGTTGTAACACTAGTCTTTGATAAATGATTCAAAAACATTTTCAACAGTCCTGGTCAGAATCTCCAATCTAAACAAATAAAATGGCAAATACATTCCAGTCACTAGTAAAAGGAACATTCACTTAGTAAAATCTGTCAAATGTTAAACAAATTCTTTTAGAAATGTTTACTAAGCATTTTCATAGTCATCAAACTGTACCAAATGCTTTATTTTGCATGCCAGGCTCTTCCAATCAAGGATATTTTAGGATTGCTTCTGTGATACCCCCACACATTTGATGTAAAAAAATGTAATTTTCTCTATACATTTTCTTCATTTGAGTTTTTGCTAGAACATCATTAGTAACAATTAGGGTGACATCTATTTATAGATAAATTTATTTCTGATACAATGTTATATGGATGAACATCATAATTAAGGATAGAGAGTGCAAGGAAGATAAATGTTCTTCTTTTAGCTACTTTGCACTGGTGCCACATATTGTCCACTAGTTTCATGAACATTATTGCTGCCACTTGTTAACTGGTCTGTACTGAATTGGAAAATTGGGCTAGAGCCTGAGAAACTCCAAGCATAAGCCAACTTGCAGGTTGCAGGTGAAGTCTATGGAGTGTGTGCCTCTGGTGGAACTTAAATAAACTCCCTTTCCTAGAATTTAATGGTTACATCATGGTTTGTGCACAGCAAATTCAAGTCAAATGTTTTTATGTTTATGATAATGCAAATTTAAAAAGTAAAATTTAAATTGAAAAGTGACACCTATTACAAAAATAGTGCAGCTCCTAAGCAAAATATCTTGGGTAGATTAGTAATTGCATTGCTTATACAAGATTGCAGTTTTGCTTGTATATAATTGGATAAAAGGTAGGTACTAATTCACCTAGTGAAAATTCAACAGCTCAAAAATGTTCAGGATATAGATTGTCAAAACTCAAAAAGAAGATATTTTTTACTCCTATGATAAGATATATTATGTTTTATATATACAACCCCTGGCAAAAATTATGGAATCACCAGCCTCAGAGGATGTTCATTCAGTTGTTTAACTTAGTAGAAAAAAAGCAGATCACAGACATGACACAAAACTGAAGTAATTTCAAATGGCAACTTTCTGGCTTTAAGAAACACTATAAGAAATCAAGAAAAAAAATTGTGCAGTCAGTAACAGTTATTTTTTTAGACAAAGCAGAGGGAAAAAAATATGGAATCACTCAATTCTGAGAAAAAAATTATGGAATCATGAAAAACAAAAGAACGCTCCAAAACATCACTAGTATTTTGTTGCACCACCTCTGGCTTTTATAACAGCTTGCAGTCTCTGAGGCATGGACTTAATGAGTGACAAACAGTACTCTTCATCAATCTGCCTCTAACTTTCTCTGATTGGTGTTGCCAGATCAGCTTTGCAGGTTGGAGCCTTGTCATGGACCATTTTCTTCAGCTTCCACCAAGGATATGGCAAGATGTATTATCATCTTGAAAAATGATTTCATCATCCCCAAACATCTTGTCAATTGGTGGGATAAGAAAAGTGTCCAAAATATCAACATAAACTTGTGCATTTATTCAAGATGTAATGACAGCCATCTCCCCAGTGCCTTTACCTGACATGCAGCCCCATATCATCAATGACTGTAGAAATTTGCATGTTCTCTTAAGGCAGTCATCTTTATAAATCTCATTGGAACAGCACCAAACAAAAGTTCCAGCATCATCACCTTGCCTAATGCAGATTCAAGATTCATCACTGAATATGACTTTCATCCAGTCATCCACAGTCCATGATTGCTTTTCCTTAGCCCATTGTAACCTTGTTTTTTTCTGTTTTGGTGTTAATGATGGCTTTTGTTTAGCTTTTCTGTACATGAATCCTATTTCCATTAGGCAATTTCTTACAACTCCAGTTTCCTCCCATTCATTCCTCATTTGTTTTGTTGTGCATTTTTGGCTTTTGAGACATATTGCTTCAAGTTTTCTGTCTTGACGCTCTGATGTCTTCCTTGGTCTAGCAGTATGTTTGCCTTTAACAACCTTCCCATATTGTTTGTATTTGGTACAGATTTTAGACACAGCTGACTGTGAACAACCAACATCTTTTGCAACATTGCGTGATGATTTACCCTCTTTTAAGAGTTTGACAATCCTCCCCTTTGTTTCCATTGACATCTCTCGTTTTGGAGCCATGATTCATGTCAGTTCCCTTGGTGCAGCAGCTCTCCAAGGTGTGATCACTCCTTTGTAGATGCAGACTAATGAGCAGATCTAATTTGATGCAGGTGTTAGTTTTGGGGATGGAAATTTACAGGGTGATTCCATAATTTTTTCCTCAGAATTGAGTGATTCCATATTTTTTTCCCTCTGCTTGGTCTAAAAAATAACCATTACTGACTGCACAATTTTTTTTCTTGATTTTATATAGTGTTTCTCAAAGTTAGAAAGTTGCCATTTGAAATTACTCTAGTTTTGTGTCATGTCTGTGATCTGCTTTTTTTCTACTAAGTTAAACAACTGAATGAACATCCTCCAAGGCCGGTGATTCCATAATTTTTGCCAGGAGCTGTATGTATGATCATATGATATCATGAATAAAATTGAATTTATATGATTTATAATGTCTTTCATTCCAATATTTTATTTATATGAGTTTAAAAATGGAACAGAATTTCTAATTCAAATTGTTTAAACCATGGCCCTTGGTTCCTCTTCTAGAATACTGTGCATAATGAAAGAATTTTACAAAATTAGCTAGTGATTTTTAGAAAATTTCTAGCAAAATTATGTAATTTTTTTTAAATTTAGTCAAGGCATTTATAGTAAAGGATAAAAATAACAGAAATTGATTGCTAACACACATATTTTCATCTCATTCATGGGTGACTTCTGCCCAGTTTTCTAGTTTGACTTAGTTCAGTATAGAATTTTAGAAATTATGATTTGTCATTAGATATATCACTGAAAAATTAATCTATTCTGTTAACCTGAAAAGTCTCAAAATATCAGATAGGTACCATCAATGCGTATAATATTGCCACAGCACTCAAGTTGCCAGACTTCAGAAGAAACAATCTATTTGATAAACTTAACAAACCTTAAATAGGTACCACTTTCTAGTACAATGAAAACTGCTGTATAGTCAATAGTCGTTATGTGCCATATGTTATTGCCAGGATACGTACAGATTTAGGCAAATGCATCACCAAGATGTGGTTTTTAACCCAAAAACATTGCCAGCAATTTTCAAGATGCATTGCTGTGTGACCAGTGGTATTCAGCAGTCACTGCCTGTCTCTTGCTTGTTTTGATTGCTTTTATCCATCAGGACTGACACCTGTAGTGATCACAATGCAGGTAGTCTACATTCATTGTAATGTGCATACATCTGTGCTGATTATTGTGTGCGCAAGAAAGCCACCACCCGAGCCAGCTTGGACCATAACTGCGCGATGGGTGTTATGCCTGCCCGGAGCCTGGGTGCTGCCAGCTCTGGGCACTCAAGCAGAAGATGCTTGACAGTGTGGGGGAGTGAATGACATTGGGGGCACAGGTCCATTTGAGTGCTGTCCAGGCATTGTTTGTAAGAGTTTAGTGAGGGATGGTGACCGCAGCGTGGTCACCATACCTTAGCACATCCCTCAGTGCAGCAGTGCCAGCTGCTGGTATGGTGTCCAATGGTTGGAAGCAAGGTGCATGTGAGGTGGAACCAGCTTCCGCAACTGTTGCACAAGACAGATCCCCTACTCCAGCAAGCAGATGGCCCATGCTTGGTGCAGGTAGGGCACAAGGTGATGGGGCCTGAGTTTGGCTCGATGTCACCACCAAGCAGGATGAGAAGGTACGGGGACCTGGTAGCCGGGTCCCCTATCAGAAAAAACAGTTGGTCCAATCATAATGTACTCTGCATCACTCCCCTCTGGGAGGGCCAAATTGCCCTTACTTCAACCTCACTGGGGAGCTGTGGGTACCAAATTGCCCCCACTTCAACCTAACTGGGGAGCCATGGGTGCTTACATTCCCAGAGGGGAGTAATGTAATTGTAAATTGTAAAGCATGCACCTGACCCACGTCTGTGCCAAATGCCAATCACTGTGCATTAGCCAGATTTATTGTAATACGGTCTGTAAAGACATAAATTTTGGTATTAAAGCAGATGCAGTGCTGAAGATTTTTGGATATTTGCTTGCATTTTGCACCCTGGGGATTATGAACCTCATAAATCATATTTTGGACTAGTATTATATTAAATGGATTTTAGTGACAAGTGGTGAGGTGAGTGATGAATTTTTAGCAAAAAAATCTGCTTCTGCCAAGATGCAGCTGGAAACTTAGGACTTCTATGTCACATAAGGTAGATATTAGAGTAAAATAAGATCACTCTGTAATATTGTACTGCATTTTTATGAAAATTCTAATAGGATTGTTTGGAGGGCAGTTTGAAAAAATCAGAAGCAAAACGGTATTTTGAAAAGTTTTAAGAAACAAATTAGGGCAAATGTAATAAAAAATTAGATCAGTACTCACTGCAGTGAGTGACAGTGCATTTTCTTGTTTGTTCATGACGTGAAGTCATGGATGGATGGACATGATGACTGACAAGCACAATTGCGCATAGTAGTGGCAAGCCAGTGATTTTTTAGAATTAGTTCATTTTTAATTTTCTCATTTACTCAAGATTTAAACCAATATCTTATGTATGATGATGCTGGTATCCATGATACTTTGCTGGTCTACTCATAAAACTTGAAATTGAACTTGAAGGAGGATCTAAAAAACTTTCTGCTTTGCTACTATGCTGATAGCGCCTACATTTCCAATTCCCATAAATGAGAAAATGTGCTAAAAAAAAGACAAAATTGACTACAAGCATGGGAATGTTGTCTCATTTAGGAGTAGCTTTAGTAGCCTGATTTTTCCAGACAGTGAATCAGATTTTTAGATCCAACAGTTATCATTTGACGGGTAGGGTAAACGCGGTATATTCCGATTCCGACATCGTGGGTAATTCCAATACCTCTAGTTTTTCCTTTATATCAAGCTTTGTCTTTGTTCCACGCATTTGTTGATGGTTGAAATAGTGATGTCATGCTATTGCGTGCCAAACTATTGCCAAAACACTAGGTCTGGGCCGTCTGGCAGGAA